ATATATCAATTCATAAGAAAAAAAAAAAAATATTTCCATATCCCTATATATATATTTTAATTATCTTCCCAATATAATACTAAATTTCATCATATTAATATAATATTAAATAATATTTTAATATATATAGTAATAATTTATTCCGTATAATATATTTCGTTTAATTATATTAAATTATTTAAATTATTTTTAAATATCAAATTTCGGTTTCGTTTTAAATATATTTTTATATATTTATAATTATATTCATATATACTATATTTTGGCAATATCGGAGTTAATTATCAAAGTCCTGCCTTCCTTCGTAGTTGCCGTTTTTGGGCGCTCTTGCCTGCTGTTGTGTTCAAAGCAAAATATCGAAATTATTCGAAATCCCGAATCTTGGTTTGTCCCACACAAAAATGCTATCTGATATGGGTCTATTCCGAATGTGATTATTCATATCTGAAGCGAAAATAAAGGGCTTTCTTTTTCTTAATTGTCTTCTCATTTTTGTATTATATGGCGCATATAATTTTTAATTTTGATTCCAAGAGTTCAGCCTTTGGAACATCTAATCTTTATCGATCTTCCAGAGTGGAGCCTTCTTGGCTTTGTGATGCTGAGGTTGCCAATTTCTGGATCTCTGCCATTTCTATGTCACACACCAGTCGGGTATTCCGCCCTCGAAGAATTTCTTTCATGTTCATGGGCACATGGTCATATACAACGGAGAAGACTGAGTCCAAGCCTGGGTCCAAAGTTTCAAAGTGGTTAGCTAGAACTGTATCGCTTCAACAAAAAAATGTGATAAACCATCAAACGTCTTCGCCACGTCTGCGGGGGGGCCCCACAAACGCGTATATATATATATATATACACATACATATACATCTATATATATATATATACATACATATACATATATACACATATACACATACACACATATACATATATACACATATACACATATACACATATACATATATACATATATACATATATACATATATACATATATACATATATACACATTTTAATATATATATATACGCACATAATTACACATATTACAATGCAATGCAATGTAGTGAGGCGTAGTGCAATGTGATGTGATGTAATGTAGTGATGTATAGTGTAGTTTAGTGGGTGTAGTGAGTGAGTGTAGTGAGTGTAGTGTAGTGTAGTGTAGTGTAGTGTAGTGTAGTGTAGTGTAGTGTAGTGTAGGGCAGTGTAGGGCAGTGCAAGGCAAGATAGTGCAATTGAATGTGGGACAGTGTAACTCTGAATGCAAAACATATGCAGCATAGGTTCATATGTTTCTGTTGTTCAGGTTTGTTCCTGCTGGAGAGAGCGAAACTTGAGGATTTCATGAACCGTTGCCGTTGCAGCCTTGTGCCTACCAGTGCCTTGGTCCAATCTTTGGAGAAGATTTGGGAGTCTGACCCTACAGCCCCATACACTTGAAATACCTTCAGATCCAAATCAGAAGAATCAGATTAATGTATGACAATGTAATGATATGGGTCAGGAATGAGATTTTGCGGGCCTATTCTCAGGGGCAGCCATGACATCACTACTTATCGTGATAAGGATGCAGAAACAGTGCTAAACGGTTGAGCACCAAAGAACGATGTCCACGCTCTTCTGCTGCCTTCAGAGCTTCCTGCCGCTCAAACTCACTTTCGAGGCCAGGTGGATAGCAAACATCTTTGGCACCTTCCAACTTGTGAATGTCCTGCAGAGATCAGGGCAGGGATTCAATGAGCTTTGACTTCTTTGACAGCCAAGTAACTAGATTAGATTCACCACATAATCAAAATATATAAAATATATAAATATAAAAACAAACAAACACACACACACATATATATATTCTTTATTATTATATATTATTATTATATATTATTATATATTATTATTATTATTACTATTATTATTATTATTACTATTATATATTAAATATTATATATTATATTTTATATATTATATATTATATATTAAATATTATATTATATATTATAAATTCTATATTATATATAATATAGAATATATAACATATATATATTATATATATTATATATATTATATATATTATATATTATATATATATTATATATTATATATATTATATATATTATATATTATATATATTATATATATTATATATATTAGATATATATATATATTATATTCTATATTATATATAATAATAAAAATAATAATAATAATAATAATTATTATTATATATTTATTTTATTGTTATTTTATTATTACTATTATTATTACTATTTTTATTTTATTATTATTATATACGATTAATATATAGTGACGGGCTGAAACTTAGAATGCCTCGCAGTTTTCCAAATTTTACCCAGAAGATAGAACCTGACCCATGTCAGGGGGTTTGGGAGCAACTTAGAATGACTTTCCATGATTTTGCTATATTCGGGGAGAGTGGTTCTAAGTTTCAGTCCGTCAACACCAAAACATCCAAAACTAGTCAATTTTTCCAATTTTTTGGATTCCAGACGTTTGAGGAAAAACATGTCAACACCAAAACTAGTCAATTGCCCTCATTTTTTGGATTCCAGGAGTTTGAGAAAAAACATGTCAACACCAAACCTAGTCAATTTTTCCAATTTTTTGGATTCCAGGAGTTTGAGAAAAACATTTCAACACCAAAACTAGTCAATTGTCCTCATTTTTTGGATTCCAGGAGTTTGAGAAAAACATGTCAACACCAAAACTAGTCAATTTTCCCCATTTTTTGGATTCCAGGAGTTTGAGGAAAAAACATGTCAACACCAAAACTAGTCAACTTTCCGCATTTTTTGGATTCCAGGAGCTGAGAAAAAACATGTCAACGCCAAAACTAGTCAATTCTTCCCATTTTTTTGGATTCCAGGAGTTGAGAAAAACATGTCAACACCAAAACTAATCAATTTTCCCGATTTTTGGATTCCAGGAGTTGAGAAAAAACACGTATATATATATAAACATGTATATATGTGCATATGTATATTACATGATTTTGCTATATTTGGAGGGTAGTGGTTCTAAGTTTCAGTCTGTCAGCACCAAAACTAATCAAATTTTCCCATTTTTTGGATTCCAGGAGTTGAGAAAAAACATGTCAACACCAAAACTAGTCAATTTTCACCATTTTTCCCCACCTGCCAGGTGAGGGTTGTTAGATTTTATCAGAGCTCTTGCCCGCCTCCTCCTCCTCCTCCTCGACTAGCTGTCCTCTTCCTCGCCGTCCTCCTCCTCGCCTCCTCCTCCAGTTTCTCCTCGATCATGTCTGCATCAACTTCCACCTCCACTTCCGCCTTGCCAACTCGTCGCCAAGCTCTTCGCCAACTTCCCAGCTCAGTGCGCGCTGCTGGACCTCAACCTGGGACCTTTCCAGCTCAGTGCGCACCGCTGGACCTCAACCTGGGACCTTCCCAGCTCAGTGCGCACCGCTGGACCTCAACCTGGGACCTTCCCAGCTCAGTGCGCACCGCTGGACCTCAACCTGGGACCTCCCCAGCTCAGTGCGCAGCCCTGGACCTCAACGGCCAGATAGAATGCCAGAAGATATGCCAGATAGAATGTCAGATAGAATGCCAGAAGATATGCCAGATAAAATGTTAGAAGATATGCCAGATAGAATGCCAGAAGGTATGCCAGATAGAATGCCAGATAAAATGTCAGATAGAATGCCAGAAAATATGCCAGAATGTTTGCCAGATAGAATGCCAGAAAATTTGCCAGATAATATGCCAGATGGAATGCCAGAAGATATGCCAGATAGAATGCCAGAAGATATGCCAGATAGAATGCCAGATGGAATGCCAGAAGATATGCCAGAACATATGCCAGGTAGAATGCCAGAAGATATGCCAGATAGAATGCCCGATGAAATGCCAGATGATATGCCAGAACATCTGCCAGAAGATATGCCAGGTAGAATGCCAGAAGATATGCCAGATAGAATGCCAGATAGAATGCCAGAAGATATGTCAGATAGAATGCCAGAAGATTTGCCAGTAGCAAAATGTATAAATGTCATAGTGGGGATCACACGAAGTAAAGTAATTTTGGATTCCAGGAGTTGAGGAAAAAACAGGTATATATATATATGTATAAATATGTGCATATGTATATTACATGATTTTGCTATATTTGGATATATTTGGAGGGTAGTGGTTCTAAGTTTCATTCCGTTAACGCCAAAACTAGTCAATTTTTCCTCATTTTTTGGATTCCAGGAGTTGAGAAAAAACATGTCAACACCAAAACTAGTCAATTTTCCCCATTTTTTGGATTCCAGGAGTTGAGAAAAAACATGTGTATATATATATATAATATATATATATATATAAATGTATATATGTCAATTATTTCCAACCATTTCCCCACATTTTATGGGTAGCTCAATTGCCAATGAGATTTCATTTTGCTCCTAAAACACCAGTGGATGCACGCAATGCAATGTTTTCCCACCAAACATTTGTTTTGTGTTCTATTTCAGCTCCCGATTTCTGTAAGACAAGGGATATATGTATCTATATATATATATATGCATGTCTATTCAAACCCTTTTCAAAGAAGACATTGTTTTTAGGGGCACCTTTACATTTCCATATCTTACTCTCTATTCTGGCATATGCCAATGGTTCTAAGTTTCTATATTTCCAAATGCACCTTACATATACACACACACATATATATATACTCGTATGTTATATAATTCCAAGCAGTTCCCCAAAATTATAATGGGATTCAACCACCAATCGGATTTCATGTGAACAAGCATATGTGGCAAACAAGCACATTCATGTGGCAAACCATGGCAAACCCAAGAATAAACCTATCATTTGGGGATGCTTTATACAGTGACATGTACCACCCATTTATGATGATTTTAGGTAGAATCTTTCGTTCAATCCATCAAACAACACATCATATTACTCAGCCAGTTTTACGGGTACTTTTCGTGTAAAAAACTGCGAGAGGGTAGTCATTTTTGGCTCTCCGAGCACCATTTTTGGTAAGGGTTCTAAGTTCTGATTACGGTGAACAGTTTTGCAAAACGTAAAAATATCATACTTTTTTAAAATCTGAGCGGGTAAAACGGGTACTTTTTTCGGGGTATGGCACATTTCCAAAGTCGGGTTCTAAGTTTCAGTCCGTCACTCTATACATATATATATATAATCGCCGGTGCGTCTGGGTAGTGACTCTTCGCGTGCCTGTGCCGTTTTCATGAGTATCTCGTAGTGTCGCTGCTTTCCAATCTCCAGCATCATCCAGTCGACCCCTGCAAGCCTTGGTCCAATCTGCGAACATCCCGCTGGCGGTCATCTTAGGTAAGAAAAGCATAGAAAAGCCAGATACATCCAGATACTACAATGTCCAGCCATAATATTCAAAACACGCAGCTCATTACAATAATATGTGCTAATATGTCCCTTTTGAATCCTTTTGATTCCTTTGCGTTGATCGCTTGGGGGTAGGCAAAATCACACCAACAAATGTATGCAGCTTTCTTAAGCAAGAAGTGTAAACTTGTATAAACTTGTCAGCTTGCAAGTCACTTTGCCATATTTTGGCAAGCAACGTAGTGAAGAAGTAATTTGCCATGCAAACGCCAGCCAGCTCGAGCCAAAAGGTTCCCTGAAGCACCTTCACTTGCTGGATCACAAATCTGTAAGCATCCCTCTCAATGGTGTTCTTGTCACCTGGTTCGCCTTCCATCATGGTGAGTTGGTACTTCTTCCAGGCGAAGGTGAAAATAAACACATAGCCTTAGCAAATATGCCCAATTTCTGCTCACTGTAGACCTAAAACCTCGACATACCTGGCTCCTCACCATGATATACATAAATAATCATAAATAGATATTATGTAAAGGCTCATTCAAAAATAACAACTTAAGACGTAGGATATAATATAATGTTTTCCCAGACTTTCACATACGGCAGTTTCCCAGTGAAGCAGCCAACGACGGCCACGACCTGCGAAGCGATGTTGATACTGATCATGACCCTGGTGATCGCCTTGTCTGTCAATGGTCTTGTGATGGAGAAGTAGGCCCCCAGGGCCAGATAAAGCATTGGTGAGAAGGCCAGCACCAAGAGACCCATAAGCATCCAGAAATCACCCAGCAGTTGAAAGGCAATGGTGTACAGACCTGTCAAATCAAAATTCTGATAAAGCAACATGCACGGCGCATCACGGTACCTAATAGCCTAATAGATCGTAATAGCATACCAAAGTGGAGGCCAGCGGAAATAATGCACAAGTATTGTTCGCATTGTTCATTTTCTTACTGCAGGTCAACGATGGGACTCCATATTTCCATCGAACGCTTGTGGTTCTCCAAATGCACAAAGCCACTGAGTAGAAGCCGTGTTGTGCTTAGATTGCTACAGTATGCTGCACTAGAGCTGACCCACGTGGATCTTGCTTACCGACGAGAAAAAACTGCAACGGCATGCTACGACCTTTTTTTGCTTGCAAAACCGTCTACTGGGGCCCTATGTATTTACTTCAATGAACTTCACCTGTTCTGATTATGCATCGAGCACAATGTCATCAAAGCATGCAATTCCAAACCATGCCGACCCGCGGTCGTCAGATGCAAAAACAACCTCTGATATCAAGAGCCAAGGTTCCCCAAGCCATTGGGCAATATAGCAAAGGCAAGGCTACCACGAACATGCCTGGCATTAGTGTTGCTGCAAAGATGTTGCCCGTGCCTTGCTTAACCTTATTTGGACATGGCAGTAAAGATCGGCCCTTGTTATCTCATTGCTCATCCCGCCTGGGATAGTACTTTGCGGCACAATATTCTTCACCTTCAAGGCAGCTCGTAGCAATGCTGGAGACAAGGCAATCGCTGCCGGCACGATGGCCTACAAGATTCAATAACAGTAAGCCGTAAGCGTTGCACGAGGTCACACTCCAGCTACAATGCCACCAGTAACATATCATCTACAATAGATCAGCACTTAGACTTAGCCACTGCAAGATTGGGGAATGTCTGTGCGATACGTAGGAACCATTCACACTGCGAATCTGCAGGATTTCTTTGGTGGTTCAAAAGGCAGCTTGTTGGCTGCTCCTGTGATACTTCGCGCAGAATCAATATCAAATTTATCAAAGGACTTAACCGACTTGACCCAGCCAAGTTGCGTTAAATCCACGGAGCCCCTGCACAAATCCCATAGCAATAGAAACACTCTGCGCCATGTGCTGGGCCATGGGTGCAGCAGTTGCAAAAATTTCCAGAGAGTTTTGAAAGCCAAACTCCATTCCATTCTTGAAGTTGGGATAGATATTGTCGTGGCACATGCGAGCTGCTCGTAGAGTGACATTATACAGCTTTGAACTGTGTGGGTCCCTTGCATGCTCCCGGACATCTTCACAAGCTTCATGAATTGGCCTAAAATCAAAGTCCACAATGTCCACGAAAGAGCAGCATTTGAGGTGTTCCTTTGGTGCTCTGGTCAGCAGGTCACATGCTTCTAGGGCTTCAGCGAACGCTTCCTCATGACCTTGCGTATCAATTTGTTTACCTCGGGTTCAGGTGCCAGTGTATCAGGCAAACACATGCGCACGCACACATGTATATATATTGTACATAATATGTACATAATATACACAACTAATTAAATATATATATATACGTTTATTATATTGTATATACATATATACATATTTATGTATGTATGTATGTACGTACGTACGTACGTATGTATGTATGTATGTATGTATGTAAATATGTATATATGTATATATGTATATTTGTATATATGTATATATGTATATATGTATATATGTATATATGTATAAATACACATGTGTGTATATAATATATACATATATGAATGAATATATATATATATATATACATATGTCATATGATTATATATATGTATTGAACACTAACATTACATTACCATTGAAATATGCCTCTTACATATGCAAGGAGGGCACTTCTCTACCACATGTCACGACCATTTAAGCACAAAACGCACTTAGCTTATTGAGAATTGTATGCTCCGAAAAACAAAAAAAACATGCTTGTCCACCCTGACAGCGCCACTGCGCAACTTGACATCATATGCAAAGGCTATCATGAGCTGGGTCAGTTGGAAGCTAGATTTGAACATTTCGAATGGTTCACCAAGGTTATCCCAGTGACAACTTTACCTCCCCTTACATGAAGTTCCTCAACAGTTTCTGTGCCCCACCAGCAACTTTGCCATGTTTGGTTGTCCTTGTGCTATGTATATAAATATAATCACACACACACACATATATATATATATCTAAATGTATATGTAAATATTTATATTTATATGTACCTATTATATATACGTATGATTATGTATGTACCTCTGCATATTCACACACACACATATAATATATAATATACACATAAATCTTTATATAGCTGGCTCTCTCTCTCTCTCTCTCTCCCCCTCCATCTGCATCTACCGCTACCTCAATCCGCCTGTCTGTCTATCTGTCTATCCGTCTGTCCGCCGGTCTGTCTGACTGTCAGTCACTCAATCAGTACTCAATCAATCAATGTAATTATTATGTGTCTCTGTAGGCCTCTAGGGGCATCAATAAGCGAAAGATGCAACTGAGATTTCCCCGACTGAGTGGCATAACTGCATGATCCGTCTCACGGAAAAATCCTTTTGCGTTGCCAAATGAGTAGAGATCTCTCCTGTGTATGCTCGGATGACGGGATCCAGAACGCTCCAGTCGATGAAGAGCCGTGAAGGGATTGAGGTTGCAAGCAGCGGGGCCAGGACACCTCAGTAGGTTCAAAGCATGAAGCACTGAAGCCTTGCCACTTGAACCTACTGAAGCCTGCTGGTTCATTGCACAGGCTCGAAGCGATCTTGGGAATACTTGGGCATTGTTCGTGGCGTAGCCATGCGTCATTCTTTCAAAACTCCTTATTTTTCACAGGAAAGCCAGTACCCATAAGTTCCTGCCCTGCCCAGAAAATGATGTTGAATGCATCCACGAATGCCAACAAATCCAAGAGGCTGAAAAACAAGGCGCGCAACACTCCTCGGTATGACTGGTTGAAGTTTGGCCAGCAGGTCAAACTCCAAGCCCTGAGCAGGTTGCAGCTGGCTAAGACAATGAATACAATGACGCAATGACGATAGCTGCATAGCTGGCAACGACAGTTTTGGGGGGATGCCTTGTTGCGGCCCCAAAGGAATACATAACCCACAAGCCAAGAACAAACCCCTCGCCATCGAAACCTGGTAAGGTTTTGGCACACAGAAACCGCTCCAGGTTATGGCCCGTACAAAGAAAGAACAACCAACTCATGGTGCAAGAGATGCATCAAGGAATTTCTTTCTGTTACTATTCCATGAGTAAGTAAAGCGTGCTCAACTATCAAACCATTATATAGATTCAAACAAGTATCAATTCTGTGTATCTGCTTCGCAAAACCACTTCAGTTGATTGTGTGGCACATTCTAGAGCAAAAAATCCTTTGAGTTGCATCCTTTGTCATCTGCGTCAGATTGCTAAGGCAAAAACTACTTGCAGGTTACGTGCCAGGCGCTGTAATGTGTCGCTGCGGAGTGCCAAATAGATTTGAGCATGCTGTATGACAGTACGATCCTGGGATCTTTTGCGTTGTAGCTACTTGTCAAGTCACGTCAAAATCAAAAAATACCGGATAACAAACAATGGAATCATCACAGAATGCCAAAACCACTGTGAGACTCCTTGTTATAAGATGTTTTAAGGTGCTGTAAATTGTCCCATTCTGTGGATTCACATTTAGGTCCTTAGGTACCTATATATGGGATCTTATGGGTTCAGGCCTGGAGGAACCGAACAACTCATGGAAAGCAACCCAAGGTGATTGATGACCACTAGCGCAGTCCAAGTCGCAAACAAATGCACCGTGAAATCTGACAGAAAGCATTGGCACACGCTTCGAAAAGGTCCATAGTGGAAGTCTGACGCAAGATTTTTGCAAACATGCCAGTATATATAAGTCTGCTATACTGGAAGAATGCTTCTGGACTATGCGTGGTCCAGTTTTTGCCGGACGCCTGCACAAAATCCTCATATGTTATGACGTGTCCATTTTCCTCAATGTCGCTCTTCTCGATCCAAATCTGCCTGCCTTGAAAGGCTTGGGGCAATGCAGACAGTTGGACTAAGAGCGCTATCACGAGAAAAAGGAAAGAAACGTAGATCATACTCCTTGCAGGGAGCAAAATGCCCGGGATGCTAAGGGAAGATCTTGGGTCATGATCTGACTGGTGCAAACACTTCCTGAAATGGAACTCAATGGAACCGTTTCGTCGACTATTCAAGATATGTATATGTAAAAACATGTAAAGGTATTTATGTGTGATGTATGTTGTATGATGTATGCTTACGTACATGCATTTGTATGTATGTATACGCATACAATTCCAGCATTGGTGCCTGTGTGCAGGCGAGTAAACAAAACCACTGCTTTCATCTTAAAATACCATAACATGTATTCCAGCAAATACATGCAAATACAGTAAATGTAGATAACACGTATATATTCCAATGCGCTTTTACCTCTCCAATGCGGATGTCCTGCGGACACTGAGGAAGTTCAAAACAGAAGTATCGTGCACTCGACGTTTTGAAGTGAGAAGCTCCTTCTCTGCAGGGGAATAAAGAGTTTTCTCGTCCCCAGACGCATTTTCCGTTGAACGCATGAAGTGCAGTGGCAAAAGCAACAAATAGTTCACACACAGGGACCAAACACTGCCTTTGTACAACGAACTCACTGAGATGGATTCGTAGCAGTTTCCAGACCTGCGACATTGAGCGCAGCCCATGGTCAGCACACTGAAAACCCACAAAGCTAGTAGGACTGCCAAGACTTTTGCCGCAATCCCGCTGAGCCCGTTGGGAGCGATCGACAGCCCCTCTTCAGCAGAAAGTTGTGCATCCCAAAGAAATGTGATGGGACTGGCCTCAATAAGTTGCGTCGTGGCGCTTGATGATGCAAACCGTGCCACATGGAGGAAACTGTCCCGAAACTGCGGTGCTAGAGCTTCCATGCCACAACCATGACCCGTGTCTGGCTTGGCTGCAGAACGTGAAACAACGTAGAAACAGTAGAAACCTATACGCTAAAAACATCTAAAACTAGAAATATGGTACCATATGGTACCAGGTACCCTTTGTCACTATGAAATTGTTTCAATCGACGTGGTGTCAGCTTACGGCTATCTGACACGATCGCAATCTCGTTTTTATCTATATCTAAACGTGCGCTGCGTGCAAGAGCATTGGCTCTTTGAACATTTGTGCAAATAAGGCTGCTGGACTTGGTAAATCGAACATATATATCTATATGGCACAATGTTTATTTAACATGTGTTTTTCATCTTTTTCCCCATGGTGAAGGAATCTCCACTGTGCTGCCCTATGCTTTGAAGGCAGGTGGCTGGACCTTGAGCAAAACCAGGCCACGAAGCACTTGAGAACTTCCTCTGTCCAATTCCCTTCATGACCGGCAAGATCACGTAAGGGATCCTAAATTCATATAAATTCACCAGGTCACCAGGTCACAATTTCATACAACCTTTGGCCGGCGTGGTTGTTGGACGCGATTTCGCGAAACATACTTACTTCATCAAACGGTGTAAACAGCACTGCGGATACAGCGCTACTAAAAAAACAAGTGTATATCAGCAGCCTTAGTAGGCACACACACAATATATATGTAATTATGTGTACATGTCCATATACAAATAAAATAAATAAATAAATATATTATACAAATAATAATAATAATTATAATTATATATATATATATTATATATAATCATCTGAAAGTGACAGCATGATTCTTCGTACTACTCTCGTCACACTCGCATCTTTTTCCATTCGCTGCCAACAGTCTGTCGGTGTCACCTGCTATCCTCAGGTTTGCTTTGGATCGGTCACTATGTGACACGCGCGTAGCCTCAAACCAGTATCACCATCTGGTCAACGCTGCCTGGTCACCCCAGGCTGGAACCTGCCTTTACAGGTATGACCCGTCCCCTATCAAAGGAGAGTTTTGGTCCATGAGTGGGTTCGCTCTGCCATCCATTCATCTCCACAACTCACCTCTCCTATGGTTTCCTATCTTTGAAACTTCCACCACTGCCTTGTGCAGTACTACTGGTATGTAACTGTATGTTTTGGTATTCTTTTGCATGCTTTGGTATGATTTGATCTTATTCTCTGTCTGGTGCCTGCAAGGTGTTTACAAGAAACGAGGATTTCAAACGTCAATGCTGATCAGTATACCTAACCTAATCGTAAATTTGGCAAGAGTAAATAGCACGACATCCCGCAACTCCGGTGTGACTTTTTCACTTCCTCATCGGATCCGCTGTCATAGTTTGTGAGCAGTCGTGGATCGTGGCTCACCTGGCACTGCAGGATACAAAAAAACTACAATGACTACAAAATCATGAAACTGAACGAATCCTTACATTCTCACTCCTTTATTCTAAAAAGGTTTGTCAGTTGTAAGCTCTATGCAGCATCAAATTCAAACATTCAAACATATTCAAACAACCTATTTTCTTGGACCGACCATTGCGGTTGAAGAGTTTGGGATGCTTTCAGTGCCGCTGGACCGGCCGCACCTCAGTCTGATCCGGAGCTGACGCCTTCAGATCGGCCTCATTCGATGGTCTTGGGGCACCTGCAACCCATCAACTGTGCCCAAAGCAAAACCGTCCACCAAATTCAAGCTGAATCCTTAAGCGCCCTAGCTTCACAAGACGGGTTGGCATGCTTGCAGGCAGCTTTCCAGTCAAATTGCAAACACAGACCCTACACAGAAAATACATCGAAGTCTATGGAGCGTGGTGCCTAAAAACCTGGCCACACACTGTCACACCCAAGGTAAAGGTTACTACGAGTAGTGGCCTTCTGAGTCCTTTGCAGAACGGTGCCGCTTGATCTCCAGCACAGCACGCACAGATCTGCCATGCAAGCGCGTGCAGGCAACTACTGAGATCTTCCACATCATGACTTTTGATTGTAGTCTTCAAATTCAGCACGTGTGTCAGTTTGATAGACGAAAACAGGTTGCACACAATGACACACGTTTCCCATGTTACACACCCACACAAACACATAAACACACGCGACATGATTGCAGAGTTAATTACAATGCAGTAGACGACGATATGGGACCAAAGTTACGTGGGAACCACGGGACCAAGTGCGAAGTTCAACAACGAAAGCCATGAACGAAGAGCACTTATCTTCACTTTGCTTCCCATAAGGAAGCCAGGATACACTTCAAAAACCAAGTGCAGACTCATCTTGTGGCCCAGTGTGGCAATTCCGTTGGATTCATCATAATTCATCTGCTCAAGCTTGCCTGGATGCATCTTCTTTTGGCAACTTCCACTCCAACAATTCAAAGGGATCCTTGAAACATCGTGGCCGATAGAAGGCGACAAGGAGGCTTGACCTCACTATGGTTGTAATCGGATGTCATCGGTTACCAAATTTCCACCCATCCGCTATTACCAGATTCCCATCCAGTACTTTCGTACGTAGTGGATGAACAGCAGCGTTCTTGGAATGCTTGAAATGAAGTGGGAATTTGACGCAAGAATCCCTGGAATGAAGCAGTCCTCTAAAGGCGCTTGTCTTCGCCGATCCTGTCTCAGCATGTCTCAGCGATACCCTCACAAATAAGCGGTACTGAGTACCAATAGTCTGTTTCAGATTTTTTTCAAAAAATCCTAAACGTTGTTTCCTTCAACTTGTGCAAGTAGTCATTGTGTGCAAGCCCCCTGTCCTGTCGGAAAGCGTCTAGCGCCCCCTGGCCATGGATCTTTTGCTTTCTAAGACATGTCACCATATCCGGCTGTTGGATCGTCTGCATTTCACCCGTCATTTGGCAGCAACGACCATGTCCGGTACTCAGAGCAAACACTACGTACATCTCAGCCCCTCTGCCGTAACAAAATCGTGACGTACTGTTGCAAAATACTGTTCCTATGAGTTGCAATGTGGCCTGCATCTCTGCAGTTGCTTGCCGTTCTGACTTGAGCCTCATTGTTTTGCGTTTTGTATGGTATCGTCGTCCCATACTCTGTTGGATCAGCCGCCCTGCAGAAACTCAGTGACCAGCGCGGCGTTCAAATGTTCGCACCTGGCAGCAAAGAGCTTTTGAAGGGCCTGAGCCCCATTGCTGCACCCCTCATGCTGCACTTAATAGCCTAACCACTACGGCGTCTACGGAATCTACTGTTGTTTTGCATGGAAATACCATATCCTCCAGGAAGAAAAAACGGTGTCAAATCACCAGGACAAGTCAACTGGCCGGGGATTCTCTCCCACCGAGAGCCTTGCCGGGGCTGCGTCTGCCTGATGATGCCGGGTGCCGGGAAGGTGGCCAGGTTGCCATTTTCTCATGAGACGGTGACCCAGCACATCATACGACTGGGGCTTTGCGTCAAGCTGAAATCCTCAAGATCCTCAAACGATTTTTTCCGCGCAGGCTTCCCAATCCCCCTCTTTGTCTAAGAATTCACAAAATGGACCAAGCTTGCCTGCTCGGCAAGACATTCTACGAACACCTAAGCTACCATTCATTGGCAAAGGGCATTCCAGCCTGCTGCAATCCAGCGTTGAAACCCATCATTTTGCCTCACGTATCCGTTGGATAAGCTCTGCCTTTCGCCCTGAGACTGGAAGATTCATGGCTCTCAGCTTGTCTTTCAGCTCAATAACGCTGCACTTCTCCAAGTTGTCGTCCGCCAGTTCCTCCTCCTCCTCCTCCTTGGCTGTGGTGCTTTTCACAATGCTGTTCTCACAAATGCGAGTGGCGTAGTTGTCTGTGTATGATCACCCGCAACATTACTTCCCAAGACTTTCACAAAAGCAGCATCTCATAACATCACCAATCCAGCCTCATCATCTTCTTCTTCATCATCTTCCTCAGGATCTCTCACTTTGACCTTTTTGACCTTCCTCTCCTCGGCTTTCTTCTTTTTTGCTTCTTCCTCAGCCCATTTTCTCTCGCTTTCCTCAAAGGCTTTTCTCCTCTCTTCTTCCATTTGCTTCCTCTCTGCCTCCTTCTTTCCTTGGATAGCAAAAGGACTCTCCTCATGTGATCAGGCTCTGTATGGTAAGTCACACACACACACTAAAACATACCAAAACCATGCAGCGCAAAGCAGGTGCACGACAATATCTTGGCATATCTTGGCCGCAAGTGAGGCTCGGAACTCAGCCCATCTCTCAGCATCCTGCTGGCGCTCCTCCTCTGTGATTTCAAACGCATCCCTGGGCTGATGCTTGAGATCCGACACATGATGATGAGAAATGGCTCCAAATGATGCAAAGGGAAACTTGGAAATGATTTGCCGGTCTCCACTTCAGAGTCTGTTTGAAATGAACCTGTTCCAATCCATGTCCTGAGTCCTGTTGCCGGAGCAACTTGTAAGCTCATGAATCCCGTGAATCCCATACAAAATATACAAACTACGAGAACATCTATGAAGTGCAAAAGCCCGGCAGCTGAGGAGGTCCCTTCCGCCAGAACATCTCATCTTCCGTATATTCCTGGAAGAAGATTTAAAGATTCGAAGAAACCAAACGGCCAAACTCAGACTGACGCAGACTCAATGCCATCAATGCCTGTCCGATTGGCTAATTCTCGAGAGATACCTTGGGGAATGGGCCCTTGATGACAAAGTTTAGCTCGGGATCGGACCTTAGCAAATTGAACAAAGCCAGTAGGAAAAAAAGAAGGCAAACTAAACAAACAAACCTGAAGCAATGTGAAGCATATGATAGGACGGTAGGCTCCAGTGGCTGCCTCGCTTGACCGACCTAACCCATGGTACTTCAAAGCTGCAATTGCTCGGTTGTGCCCGGTTGCTCAAATGATTGCCGTGTCAAGACATGTCCTTACTCGCCTCAGTTTCTGTTGATAGATTTCGCATGATTTCACATGGTTTCACTAGTCCCGTATGTTTCAATTCCAAAATATGCCAAAATGCTCATTGCCCACGTAGTCTGGCTCTGGAGCTGGCTCCTCTGGCCACCAGTCCTGAAGCCAATGAGCCAAACACATTGCTTGAACAGATGTGCTCCAATGGTCATTGCTGGAATGTCAAGCAAAGGCACCCAATGTGCCAATGGTCCATGTGCATCGACCTCACTAGAAGGTCCTCCACCCAATCTGGCATCTGAACATTCTCTGGATTCTTGGGCTTCCTCAGGCAACCATCTACGCAAAAGGTTTAAGCTGCTTCCGCTGCTTATTTCTGGAAAAGAGCGACACCAAAATATCTGCGAGCGGCAATCCTAAGAAATCATTAGATGCTTAAATCTTTGAGAGGGACCCCCTTCGTCCGAGTGCTTATCACTTATGACGTCTACACCCTTATTGCGGAAGCACCTTTGCTGTAAGAAATGAGGCCTGGGGGAAAACAAAGTAGCAAGCGGGATCGGGTGGCTATACATGAATGATGAATCATTTTTTTCGCAGCTTCTTCTATCCCGAATTGTCTCAAACAGAATCTCTTTGAGGAAACAAGTTGCATACCGATATCATACCGATTATAAATGATTATTACACAGATCGACAATTTCTTGTGTGGAATGCTGCAAGCTGCTGCAAGCTCCTCAATTCATCCCAGGTGCCGAAGATCTCTGTACCAGCACTTCATCTCATAGGCATCCGAATCAAACTTTACCTGAACGAATGTACACGCATGTTGACCCACAAATCTGCCGATCTCTCAAGACAGGAAAAGGAAAGGAAAAAGATAGGATTGATAGGATACAGCTTACTGGGCTTTGGATGGCTTTGGTATAAAATGTATTAAACATATCTAAAAATGCAGAGGAATCACACGCACAGGATTAAGACATATCAAAACATCAAACTGAGTAAGAAAACTCCAGGACCAAGCGCCCGAAAGGATCCATCATTGGGCCGCTCATCGGTGGGAGCTCGTGAGACCCGTGCAGTGACCCATTCACCAGCGCGTTGCACTTCTACCATGTCGCCCAGGAAGAACCTCGTTGCCAAATCTTGCCAGGTTACAGGATGTTATAGGGTTGCCACGGTGCAAAACTTGCGACTCGCTGACAGGATTCACCAGGATTCTAGTGATTGATCTGATCTCAGGATGGTTCAATAGCATTCAATAGCCTCAATTGAGGAGCCATTCATCGCAATGGTTCTGTCCTGGGTCACGGATTTGCTGGTTGAATCCGGGACACTGAATACCTCTGCGTCCTCCCTGGTAGAGGGTGCCAGGCACGTCGTACTCCTGCTTTTTGTCCAAATTCTTTGGCTTCCTTAGCTGGCCCAACAGCAAATGAGTCTGAACAACTATTTCCAATTCATTGTAATTCAAATTTTTCCTAATTCATCCCAATTCCTAAAGGGTCGAGAGAAAACCTTTCGTCAATCTGACAGCAACTAGCCAGGTTGAAACCTAGCAGCATCAGCAATTAGATGCTCTGGGCCGGACTTGACCTCACACAGTCATTGCCAGGAATTGAACCGAGGTGCTTTGGCAGTTTGCGGCCTGAGGGTGCCGTCACTGCGAAGCTAGACAATTCACCTGGCAGTGAGGCAAACCCGTGAGACGGTCACATGCACACAGAGGCATTGTAATGTGTTTAGTCGCAAAATTGTACATATAGCGGAAGAACATCAACAACCACCAATACATGTCTAGAACATTCTAGACCTATGTCTATTGAAACTAATGAAACAAAAATCCTAGAAACTGTGCGACTGATTCGGACACACCCTACTGCATCCTGTTGTCGCGCAACAAAAGCAATAGCGAAGAGTATGCAAATTGAACATAATTGAACAAAGCATTGCATTACAATTCTTCATCTCCTGGGGGCTTCAAAAGACTCTGGCATTGAACTCTGGGGCACATTCAACTGGTTTTTAGGTTGTTAAGTGCTAATGCTGATGCATGGAGAAAACCGGCATCTGCTTTCCCCAATTTCTGTCTTAACATGTTCTTTACAGGATTGCGCCAGACTGCAAGGGACTTGCTTGTCAGGCTGTCCTTGAGTGTTTTGAGAATTTTGAGTTGGTGGGCTGATGTACAGTAATCTGATGTAATATAGAGGTTATGTATACATATGTAATGTTTGAAAGCACGTATGATTATATGTAAATATATATATATATATATACATCTCTATATCTATAATATATGTAATTATATACATATGTAATTACATATAAATATACCATTAGATACACATATAGTTATATACAACTAAAAATATATACATATAATTACATACACACATACATACATACGTACGTACGTACGTACATACATACATACATTCAAAAATGTTAATATACAAGTATGTGTACAGTAGACCAGCATACCTGTGCACAGATGATCCAGACGCTCAACAACGTTTGGCTCAAGTGGCTCAAGACGACAGGCCCAGTGCCCAACAGAGGGAAAATATACCGCTGCGCGAGTTCAACACTGCAACAGCGGGGACAAACACAGTCAACAGCTACTGTGAATTTTACATGGTAGCGGAGCTCTGCCTAACCAGGGGCATCCCCAAGCAACAGCAGTGAACAACAGGCAGGACTTGATCCCAGAGCACTGGGGGATTTTCAATAAAACGCACCAAGCACCTACACGCAACAATGGCAGCAACAGCAGACGATGAAGTAACAGCCTTGGCGGCAACACACAGACTCAAACTCAAACCCCCAACATATGATGGCAACTATGCCGCATATGAAAAATGGACCTACAAGTTCACAGCATACATGGGCCTACAGGACCCATTCTACCCAAGGATGTTTAGGCTGGCAGAAGCAGCGGTACAACAAGTAACAGAGGCACATCTACGACAAGCAGCTGCAACACTGGAAGAAGCAGATGCATGGGTCCAACTCGATCAAAGCCTCAAGTAGGTGTTGATCAACATAACAGCAGGAGCAGCAGCCACTCTTTGCAGACAACATCAACATGAGATTGGGCTCGAGGTACCCCGACAACGCAACATGAGGTTTGCATTGCCGGTAGGAACAAGAAGCATAGGATACCTTACAAAGCCCTTGAAACCAACATTTGACAGCAACAACTTTTAGGAGTCATTCTCCAACTGGGAGTTTGAACTCAACAGGTACGAAAGAGACAACAACACCCAACTACCAGACCAAGTCAAGATTGCAGTCTTGATGAATGAAACAAAAGGACCACTACAATACAACAACACCTTCGCCTTATGGCTGGAGCGACACCAGCCTACATCGACATCAGGGCAACCATCATGGAACACGACAGGACAACTACAGCATTCAGCAGGCTCCAGCAGAGCGCATCACCCAGTGTTGCAACAAACTACAATGGAGGAGCTGCACTGATGGACATAGGAGCCATCAACAAAGGAAAAGGAAAGGGCAAGTACAAAGGCAAAGGAAAGAAAGGAAAAGGCAAAGGAAAGAAAGACAACAAAGGACAGGGCTACGGACAACAAGGCTATGGCCGCACAACACAAGGCAAAGGAAAAGGGCCCGTTGGACAAACAGTCCAATACAAAGGATACAGCAACTATACACAAGGAAAAGGAAAAGGACAAGGAAAGGCAACCGTCAAAGGAAAAGGGCACACAACAGGCTGCTATAGATGTGGTCAACCAGGCCACCCAGCAAAGACTGTAGAGTTGCAGTCCATAACATTCAGGAGGACGTCCAGGAAGGATACAACGATGCAACTGAGCAGTAGTATGGACCACAAACCACCTATGACAACCATTGGTGGACAAACGGCCAAACACAAGTCAATGCAGCGCAACAACCACAACAACTTGCACTGCCAGCACCTTCACAATTAGATGCAACCCCAGCATTGCAGATTGCAGCGGTCACAGTGCCACGCAACAGCAGCAGCGTAATGAGAGCACCAGACATGAGCATGTTCACAAACCTTAGCAAGGATGAACTGATGATCGACAGTCGAGCGGCAACACGTTTACCCAATCTGGTTTGCCTCAGCAAGACAGATCCATAGGCATGTCCAGAACCCTCTGGGAACATGTTCCACCTGAACTAGGGCAGCAAGCCGGGTGCTGCACTAGGGGAGTGCCAGGAGTATGAGATGGGAGCCCCAAGGTACCATTTATAGGATTCATTTAAAAATATATATGCCCTTGGGGCATGGCAGATTCATAGGTTTGTATGATCAGAAAAAAAGGATTATGGTCAAAAAAAAATTGGTTCAACCAAAAATCTAAATGTATAAAACAAAGATAAACTAGATGAGAAAATGTTTTACCTCCAAAAAGACCGTTTTCAATCAAACAACACTTGGCCCTCAATCAACCAAAGATTGGTTCTCAACCAGCCCGAACAAAAATGAAGTACCTGAAAACCATTTCGCTGAAAAAAACAGGGGATTGGCAAAAATCGCATGTGTTTCCCGAATGTGGCAAATCTGTGAAAAAGGCGATCGCTTCCATTCAACATGAGGTTGGAATTATGCAGTTCATTGCTTTAATGTTTCCCAGTTGGCTGCGGAACGGTGACATGAAAACAAAATGAAAAGGCCAAAAAAAAATGACAAACAGTGAAACATGTGTTTTGTGCAATTCTGCTGCCACCAGGATAGGAACATAGCGGATAAAGTTTGCACTAGAAAAACAATAACGGATTTTTCTGCAATCATAAATGTCGGGCGCTTGCACAAAAGTTGCAAGGAAACGTGCCATTCTATCTGCAGCGAAAAAAATTGTAAATACTGACAGGGGATTTACAGCAACTTTGGCATTCTATACAGCAGTTGGCTTTGGGCGGCCAGAAGTTAGCTTTGGGGGGTTCCAATTTTAGTTGCAGGCCCGCCTTACATTAGTGACTGTCCAATGGTTGTATATTAATTTTGAATAAATCAAAACTGGGTGATCCAAAAAAAGTTATACATGGAAAAAAATGAACAAATATGAGGAATTCAGAGGATATTAAGAAATTCACGGGGTTAAGTTGCAATTCCACCAGGCATCATACCATTGCACCGGGAAAAGCGATCAGTTGGTGAATGAAACAGATGCATCTCCCGGAACCCCACTGAACATTCAAATAACAAGTGATGGTTTGAGGGATCAAATACTTTTGGGGTATCCAAAAAAGTACAAGACCTAAACCATCAGAACGAAAGGTCAGCAGTCAGTACGTTCTGACATTCGAGCCAATGTCGCTGCTTGGCTCTTGCCCTGATGTGACCGTGGCTGGGGTAGTGAAATAGTAGTAGGGGTTGTGCAAGTGGCACAGGAAATGCACAAAGGCTACAACAAAATTCAACCAGAATGTTCAACTTTGTGAGCTGATGATTTGACAATAAATCGACAAACAATTGCAGCGCGTGATATTTTAAAAGGAGTACAAACATAGATTGACAGTTTGACAGTTTGACTTAACTTCGAAGTTTAACCAGCACGCTACTACTGCCAGTTCATTGGTCCATCTTACTACAACGCTCATGGCAGACGTTTGCCAGGGTCACTGGGTCGACGTTTTGGGGGTTGAGGTTGCTCTACATTCAATCAAGTCTTGTAAGACTTACGATGAAATGTCTTCAGGACCCTCAAAATCGTTCAGACACCTCACGACCCATGACCTTCTTGAGTTTCAATTGAAGCATTAACCATGCAAACATACAGCCACTTGTGGAAGGGCCGTATACCATGACCACCACTCGCCTGTAGTTACTCACCGGGTCACCACAACCATGATGATACGATAAGCATCATCAATCAATCACACAGCCGCTTGATGTTCAGAACCACCACATGATTCCAAGCTAGAACAATAGGAGTGATATGGAAGCATGGAAATGAAGACTGCGAGAAAGCGACAACTAACCTGTATGAACTATAAATCAATCATTGAGCAACCAATCATCAGCAACGACAAACACAGTGTGTCCCTTCTTTGCCTGCTGCATCATGAATTGAAAAATGTTTCGTTTATTGGTTTATTGTTATTTATCTAGCTGCTAGCTGTTTTATACTATAAAGCTGTTGTGCTTTTAATCTGTGCATCTTCCTTTTTTACAAATATAAATATAAAACACATACATATAAATATAATATATCACATTGATTTATTTCTTTATTTATGTACTTACCTACTTATTGACTTACATATTTACATATACATATATATATAATACTCATTTGAATTTAGATACGTATTTATTTATTCATGCGGCCGGCTGCCTAAATAGAACGGTTTCCAAAACACAGAAGATCCAGGGGACAGAAGACATAAAACTTGTAGGCAGTCCTGAATTGAAATCACCGAGCGAATCATGTCAGCTCGCCATTTTTCGGGATATCCAGCAGCTTCGTTTCCATCGCCTCAACTGCAGCGTCTTCTTCTCCCGGGACTAAGCTTGAAGAACTTTGCCCGGCCCTAGGCCAAACCCCCAAGCTAACTAGCTTCGGGCGGCCCGCCTAAGTGCCAAGATTCCACGCCAAGTTTCCTTGCGCGGTCCGCGCCTGTGGTTTCCGCCCTTGAGCCACGATTCCGGAAGTCGCCTTGCACACCAACATTTCCCAAAAATTCAAC